AGAGGTACCCATACACTTTGAATTCATTCATAAACCTAAACTCAAAGAAATAACTAGTGTTAAAAGCCAATTACACAATAAAGAAAAATTTCTATATACTTTAAAACAAGAAATTAAATATAAACATGTGGAAGGACAATTACAAAATCCCTTGATACTACAAAAGATTTAACAACTCCAACAACAGATAGAAGCCTCTATCTGCAGTGAACATCCCAACGCTTTCTGGGAAAGGAAAAACATAGTATCAGCCTCCCATATGAACCTGGATTTGATGAAAAACAAATTCCTACTAAAGCAAGACCAATTCAAGTGAATACTACTCTACTTGATATGTGTAGAAAAGAAATTGCTGAACTCCAAATAAAAAAGCTTATCAGATCAAGCTCATCACCATGAAGTTGTGCAACTTTCTATATCAATAAAAATGTTGAAAAATAATGAGGAGTTCCAAGACTGGTTATCAATTATAAGCCATTAAATAAAGTCTTACAATGGATAAGGTATCCAATCCCTAATACAAAAGATTTGTTAGATCGAGTAGCAAATGCTTGTATATTTTCCAAATTTGATATGAAGTCAAGATACTGGCAAATACAAATCCAAGAAAAAGATAAATATAAAACAACATTCAATGTTCCATTTGGTCAATATGAATGGAATGTAATGCCATTTTGGAAAATGCCCCATCTGAATTCCAGAAAATAATGAATGATGTTTTCAATGCTTATTATCACAAAGTATTATGTTTATTGGCTGCAAAGAGCTGTAGTGCAAGTGATAATGGTGTTTCTTCGTCGTTGGCGTTAGTGTGGCTCCCCCTGTAAAAATTCACGGGTTAAAAAATCAAGAAGAGAATTGGCAGAACCGTGAAGATGTTCAATGGTGAAATCAAAGGTAGAAAGAATTGCCTGCCAGCGAGCAAAGATTTGTTTAGAAACAAGATTTTGAACATCTTTTTACAGAATATCTTTAGCAGCTTTGCAATCAGTGCGTATGAGAAAATGTTGATTGAGAATATCACTTTTAAATTTTGTGACACAATGGACAATAGTAAGTAATTCATTTTTTACCGTAAAATAATTCTGTTGGGTTGGATTCCAGGCTTTAGAAGTATACCTGAGTAATTGTTCATGACCATCCACTTGTTGTTTTAGGATTCCTCCTAAACCCAACTCTGAAGCATCACATTCAATAATTTTGAAAGCAATAGGGTGAGGAAGAGAAAGACAAAGGAGAGTTTTGACTTTCTTTTTCATTAATTGTACTGCTTTAGTATGAATATCTGTCCATGGTGGTGGATTCTTTTTTAATCTGTCATGTAGAGGTTTAGCATCTATAGCAAGATCTTGATAAAAATCAATAACATAATTAAGACATCCTAAGAACCTTTGGAGTTGTTTTTTATCTAAAATTTGATCAGAAAATTTATCAGCAAATTGTAGTGATCTATCTATAAGAATAATGGTGCCATGATGGATATTATGTCCTAAGAATCTAATAGTTGTTTTCAATAAAGTAATATATATATATATATATATATATATATATATATATATATATATATATATATATATATATA